AGAAGGGCAAGCCATTGGAGCTAACGTCCTTGGAGATTGACCAACTGACCCGCTGGATGCGAGCGAGTATTCCCGCTTACCGAAAGCTTTTTCAACAACATGCTGAGTACGACCTGTTCCGGCGGAGGTGCAACCTGCAAGCTCGCACGCATGTACTATCTGTAGTATACCTGCAACATATTGTCAACTTGTTTCTGTATGTTTATCATATATTGTAAGTATACTAAGAATATGTTGTCATCACAGGGAGAATGCCGCGCGCTCTAAACATGCAAATAGGTACCGACAAGAGGTGGGTGTTGTGCCCGCGATCGCGTTCGGTCCATTGGAGGACCCTGAAGGATGGCTTGGTCGTCAATACACGCCTTACGAGAAGTCGCTCATGATGGGTCCCGAACCCATGTGTTCCAAGTACAACAAGGTGAACATCGGCGGTGTCTTCTATCGCACTAGAGACGGGGACAAAGGGAAAGTGACAACCCAGTGTTTCGTCCGCGCATCCTTCCCCAAGAATGATGCCGATGCCGATGACGAGTGGGAGGACAGGTACGACCTCAACCACCAGTTTGCATGCTTCTTTGCCTTTTCGTATATCTCTGCAACATATATGCAATACGTTCCCAACATATTAAGGATATGTTGTACGTGTATTACAAAAACATTGAACATTTCGTGCGCAGGTATGATATCATCAACGCCATTCTGCGGGTTAGCATTGGCGGTGTGCTCTACACTTTTTTAAAGTGTGATTGGCTACCCGTGGCCACGGAAGCTCAGATCGCAAGCTTCAAGCTGAAGAACTCCATCCTCGGCGTGGACAAGGTGTCCAAGGCTTACTACACCTTCAACCCATGGGACAAGTACACTATGGACAACCGAGAGCCCTACCTACTGGCCAATCAAGTCCTAGCGCAAGTAGTGATAGTCAAACACCCCTGCATGGATTCAGCGGTCCGGATACTTGATACGAGCGACCGCAATATGGAGAAACTTGCACTCGTTGATGATAGGCCCGTAGGTAGTGATGGTCACTTTGACACATGCGGGAAGTGTAGAGTCGGTGGCGAGCTCCTTCTGTGTGAGAGGGCAGGCTGCAAAGAGGCTATGCACGTGCGATGCGCAGGGCTCACCGACATCCCCACTGGAATGTGGTACTGCAGAAAGTGTGATGACGCATAGTAGTGCCTCTGTACACATTTGATATACCTGTAATATACCAGATACGTATTGCGGACATATTGTAAGTATTATGCAATATGTGAGCAGCAGGGGGGTCTTACCCCTTTACCCCATGCAGTCATGTGTTGCATAATTCACTCTGATTGTAGACATATTGCACATGTATTAAAGATATTCTGCATGAGGGAATGTTTCAATATGTGTTCAACACATATATTGCAAACGTGTTGAATGATTCATCTGATTGTAGACATATTGCACATGTATTGAACGATTCCTTATGCGTGAATGTTTCAACATGTGTTCAACACATGTTCAATACGTGTGTTGCAGGCGGTTGCAGACATATTGAACACCCCTCCAATCGTTTTGCCTTATTTCAATACATCGGGGCCCCAATTCAAAAAGCCCCCCAGAACCGACTTCTGCGATACGCGTCCAAATGCCGTGAAAACTTGTCCCCATAACGCTAGACCCTTCCTTAGATGATACCAAGTGCTAGTGGGTGAGTCTGACACCATTTGGGTGCCCATGCTAGCATACTCATTTTCGCTGTGTCCAGGCTGATCGCGGTTCAATAGTTTGGCCAATATGTTACACGTGTATTGGAATGTCCAGATATTAGCATACCGTCTTCAATATGCCTCCAATATGCCTCCAATACGTGTTCAACACGTGTATTGAACCCGTCTAGAAACGTAGGGGTGCCTTTGACCTCGACGACCCTCTGGCACCCGTGGTCAACAGGGTGAATGGGCTTCTCTACGACGTTCTTGCCCTGGTGATTGAGAAGCACAGCAACGCGTTCGTCTGGCTGACTGGTACCGATTCTTCGACTGAGAGACCGAGATGGACGGCGAGCCCTTGTCGACATCATCAAGGGTTGTGTTCCAGTGGCGCTACGAGAGTCGCAGCAGGAGGAGCACGCCGCGTTGCGTTATCCCGCAAACGTTGACCCGCAGCCGATCTTGGCTAAGGAGCGACGTTTGGTGCGGGATAACCGAGCTTCCGACTGGACACCGACCGAGGCCACGAGGAAGTTATCCCTCTACACCCGACTCGACCCCGTGTTCTACGCTGCGGTGAAGGTCCGCTATCCCATGGCCGCTGACTTGACTCATGTGTCACTAGTTTCGCTCCGTTCCATGGTTGTGGAAATTTACCAGGCTTGGGCACAGACGGGCGGGGGGAAGGCGGCTTCTGGCGCGGACGGCATCTCCGCGCACCTTTCCAGCAGCGAGTACGACGCCCTTCTTCAAAAGATCACGGAGCTCAAGGAGCTCGTGCAGCGGCAACACGGTGAGGCCGCTCCGGTTGTGCGTCAACAGCGGGAGCGGGTGCAGCAGCGGCAGCAGCAGCAGCGGGGGCAGCAGCCGCGAGGATTCCGTGTGGGGACCCACAAAGCCCCACCAGTGGGATTCGACCGCGACGATCAACGGGCGAAGCCGTTCTGCGGTAGGTGCAAGAAGGCGGGCAAAGGTGAGAGCTATCACTTTTACCGCGACTGCCCGTTGGGCGGGCGCCAACACCCGCCCACCTCTGCCGCAGCGTTCTGTGTTCCCATCGACGAGGAGGACGCGGAGGGGGTGCACGCGCTCGCTATGTGCGCGTTGTTCCAGCAGGCAGCGGATGATGGAGCGGATTCCTTCGCACGTGCGGCCGCCGTGTACGGACCGCCCGCGGTCGGTGCTTTGTGCGGGAGCGGTGGGCGGCATCGACGTGTCCGCCTACGGCTTCACCGTGGAGCAGCAGCCGGCTTCCGAGGGAGATGGCATTCTCCGCCGTCTCGACGATCTTGCCGCGGAGGTTCACTCCGCGGCCAACCCGCAGGTACATTACACCCACGCATCTTTCCCGCCTCCTGCCGACATCGGGCAGGAGGCTTCGGCTCTGGTGTGCGGACCCGCCGCAGCGGTGGCCACACCGGAGGAGCAGGTTCCGGCAGGTGGTGCGGCGGCATCGGCATCCGCCGTGCAGGGAAGATATCTTCCTGGGATTGGCCGGCCCGGGGCCGTGTCACGGAGGCCCGGCCCGAAGGCGGGCCGAAGGAAAAGTTGCGGATGGGCCGAGTCGCATTGAGGGGAAAATCGACAAATTTCCAAAATTCTATCGATTTTTGACAAATTGTCATACTTAAAATTAAAATTTTGCGCCTGCGGCGGGCAATTTTGGGTTCGGGCCGAGACGGGCCGAAATGTGCCCGAAGTAAATTCCCAATGCGGGCCGAGTCGCCTCCGCGGGAGATATCTACCCTGCCGCCGTGCCGGCCCCTGCTATGCCTGTCTCGCAGGGAAAGGATGTGGAGCCCGCGCCACTGCAATCGGCGCGGGTGACCACCACAGCGGACGCGGACGGTGAGTTCGCTGGGCTCGTTCAGACCGTGAACCACGCCGCCATCGGACAGATTGATCTCACGGGTTACGACACGGACGATTACGAGGACCTCGCCGACGGCAGCTTCGTCGTGAAGCCGCGGACTTCGACAATTTCGGCAAATCGTTCGTCAACGCCCGCAGCCCAAGCACCTCACTCTGGTGGTGCTCTGGGAGATTGGCATGACGGTGCTCCCCGCAGCCACGGCTGCGGAAAGCCTCCGTGGGGCTTCCCCGCCCACGCGGGCTTATGGGGGATGCCGTTTCTACTTTCCTTCATTCTCTTGATTTCTGTCATGGGAGTGGGAGCTGCCACCTATACGGTGGCCAATGACATGGACCCTGTGCAGGTATCGGGTCGGGCTGCGCCGCAGCCTGTGCTGTGCTGTGCCCTTTGACCCCGAGTAGTTATGTTACTGGTTCTGGCAGTACACCACTTGTCTGGTGGTGTGCTGAGATCTACTTTGACCTCAACACGGTCTTCAATTTGGTTTATGATTTTACTTTGACACCTTTGAATTCTTCAACCTGACTTACTGGCACAGAGCTTTTCAGTAGTTTAGCAGGACTTGCATTGCCTGTATGTTTTTCTCTTGTGCTGGTTAGAGGGATTCCAATTTGTGTATCAGAATTGCGCAGTTGGATTAGCAGTTAGGACTTGTCACCCTGGCTTCTGCCCTAGAGGTTTAACATTCTGACTCTCCTAGCCAGTCACCACCCACAGTGCTGGGGTGGTGTGTTGGAATCTGTATAAGCAGCCCTGACAGGCAGGCCCCTATGACAGACCCCTATCTAGGACCAACACTGGACTGCTGACTGATCTATAGGTTCGTGCTGTGACACACGTTGTGTCACAGGTAGGCTAGTTTCCGAGACCGTTGCGAGACCGTTCTGGGTATATCTAGCTTAGGGTTTATTTATCTGATGAGAGTTTATCCACACAGTTCGGGACCCTCTGATATCTAGTGAACTAGGATATTCCGTTAAACTGCATTGTCAAAAGGAGGAGAGGACTCCTGTGCACTCTGCGGTACTTCACGTTGTCGCGAGGATCTGTGTGAGGAAGAACCTGCAAGTCACTTTGCCTGTTCGAAAAGCTCGCCTTTCTTTTGATACCAAAGTTGCCGTGCTTCTTAGGCTAGCTTCTCGCTTGATCAGGTTTGCACAGAGCTTATGAGGGCCTCCACAGTAGGACCGGACTTTCAACTTGATTGAAACCGAGCGAGCGACCTGTTATCGCTCGAGCAACTTATTTCCAAACGACAATTTCAAGGTTGCAGGCGCAATGGTGTCGGAGTTTTAGATTTCGACTAATAGGACTTAATTGTGGCACGATGTGGCATTCGTGCCACACTGGGAGGGCCTACACAGGGGACAAGGATTCCGATCATCTCTAACCCAAGCGTGTGACCTTTTATTGTGTATGTATCGTATTTAGAAGCTAAATTTGTGGCATTGGCTCAAGAAGAGCACCAGACTTAAAGTCTGGAGGTCTCAGTTCGAATCTGAGATGCCACACTCTCAGGGTGCGCTCCCTCTGATGCCTTCAAACTTGCTTGATAGGCCCATATTATAGATAGTGTAATCCAGGTGTCATGTCCAAGTGAATTTGAAATACTTTGGTCGCAGGCGCGTTTGAGGAACTGAGTATTTCGGCTGAGAGCAATATTTTCGGGCAAACTTGGTCGGAGGGTGTGCACAGTCCCTCGCAGTTGCACCTTTGCTGTTGTTTGAGGGTTCCACTCGCTCGGTATCTTGAAGATCATACAGCACACCACAAGTGTAACTTTGGTGTAGGGGTATTGCAGGTACACGCGGCGATAGACGGAAGCTGAGCAGAGCACCGGTCGGAGGAGCCCGGGCATTGTGGGGAGGGAAACTTTCGGGTGCGCCACCCATTTAATAATCGGGGTGCCAAAGGAGTCGATCCAAGGAACAACACACACCAAAGCTGTGTGGATTTGAATGCGGAGAGCTGTGACAGTTTATAAAGTATTGAATATACAGTATCTTGAGGACAAAATTACCGGTCGCCGTCCCGGTCAAGCATCACAATCACACTGATGATATTATTGCAGCGGCTTCGGAGTCTTTCAAAGGAAGGCAATAGTATGAATGAATATCTGCAATATCGACACCACGTTTTCAATATCAATCGGGCGTCGACATATGCTATATGATATGCGCGAAATCGATGCAGCGACATCATGTCTACTAAGTATATCATAATTACTAAAGCATTGTAAGTGTATTCATTTGGAACGAGCACCCTAAAGCTAATCGGCCATCATTCTAACATCAACGCGATGTGATGATAGAGTCGCGAGGACTCGCATGCGTATGCCGTCTCCGCGGTCGTTGACACTATCATCAGCCTCGCCGCATTCAAGAGGAAGTTGGACGCGAATCGCCTCCTCTTGTGCAATCATCACAAGCATGTACATAAGGTCGTCGACTTCCGGCATGTAAATCACACGCTCGACAACCGCAATATATGGCGGGACTTCGACACCGTGGGTGTAAAACCCGGATACCTGCACACGCATGCCAGGTCCGACTGCCGCGATCTCGTCGTTCACATCATAGATAAGGAAATAATCGCCGCCATCATTACCGAGCCATTCCCCATAGCCATCCCATGCATGCGCACTCATGGTTCGTATATGAAAACTGCATATCAAGTGTAAAGTACGGCTCGTGCGACGACACAGTTGTGGCGTTCCCCTTCCGTGTATGGCTGTATGCATCTGTTCAAATTTGTCGTCACTTCGGTGATTTTGAACTCATGAACTCTGATCGTATCATCCTGCCGCTCAATTCACATGTGAATCTAGACGGCTGAAATTTAGTTGGGCACCCCTAGGGTACGGGCGTGGGCGCTGAAAAACTTGTCCAACTTTTCCGATGACACATGATGACTGCATGTCACGGCTGCGTCTATCGCGTGAGAGACAGCGACACAGTGACCGCAATAATGAACGTCGCCGGCAGCAGACGGTGAACACATCGACATCGCGGCGGACACCATTGCCGCTGCCGATGCCGTTGCGTGACTGCTTACTCGTTACAGTACGCGTTTTTCGTTGACCCATCCCAATCCGCAATTGCATCGTAAAATTCTTCAGCTACAGTACGCAATTTCTTCAACGTTCCTCCGCCTCATGGGGCGAACGGTGCGGTGACTGCTGTGATACACGCAATGATTTCCAAAGTGCTCGGCTACTTTTATTTTTCGGTTCGCTTATCATAATGTGTAAACTTGTGATACTATGTGTGCGCAGGTCATGCCGCAAGTATCCGGTGGCGAGGAGGGACGCGCGCTCTTGAGATGTGGAAGTCGAGGTTGGCGTATGCCAACCTTGCTTGGGATGAAACCCAACCATATCGAACGCGTATCGTATTAAGATATACACATTTCACGTTTGCATCCTTGGCATCTATGCAAAATATGAGGAGCATTGAGTGAGCATAAGTCTTAGGCTGTTTTGGTTTTTGGTTCATAGCGCATTCGCGACCTCTTGGGGTGTGGAAGTTGAGGTTGGTCTAAACCAACCTTGCTTGGGATGAAACCCAACCACCAGGGCTCCTAATCGGTTTCCCTACAAATTTAGGAATCGTAGGTAGGGCCATGTTTGCCTTGTATCTACCTTGTGTCTGGATGGCCAAAAACCACGACCAGACATGGCCATGTTTAGTCAGTTTTTCCGCGGCGCAACACAACCCAAGTAGGGCCATGTTTGGTCGTGGTTTTTGGCCTTACTTACCCCCTACCTACCCCCTACCTACCCAATGTCTAACGCACCATACGTACGCCCGTGAATGCATGAATCACTTAGAAAATGGGTAGATACAAGGTAAGTATGGCCATGTCTATACATAAACAAGGGTAAGTAGGGCCCTATCTATCATGTATCTATACTCAAGTACTGGGTAAGTATGGCCATGTCTATACATAAACAAGGGTAAGTAGGGCCCTACCTATCATGTATCTGTACTCAAGTACAGGGTAAGTATGGCCATGTCTATACATAAACAAGGGTAAGTAGGGCCCTACCTATCATGTATCTATACTCAAGTACTGGGTAAGTATGGCCATGTCTATACATAAACAAGGGTAAGTAGGGCCCTACCTATCATGTATGATGCTCAAGTACTAGTAAGTATGGCCATGTCTATACATAAACAAGGGTAAGTAGGGCCCTACCTATCATGTATCTATACTCAAGTACAGGGTAAGTATGGCCATGTTTATACATAAACAAGGGTAAGTAGGGCCCTACCTATCATGTATCTGTACTCAAGTACAGGGTAAGTATGGCAATGTTTGAATGATTTTTCAATTAAAAATATTTACTGAAAGTGTACATTTTTCTATTTTTTGCTCCTCTTGTTCCCTTTCACTGCAGGACTGTCTACTTTTCTCTTATTTTTGCCTTTTGCAGAAGGAGAAGGAGGCTCAGGAGAAGGAGGCTCTTCCTTCTCGTCCTCGTCCTCGTCCTCCTCTTCATCCCCCTTTTCGGGCGCATCATCATCCGCCGGGGGTACATAGTCCCCATCCTCCTCGTCCTCGTCCTCGTCCTCCGCGGAGGTTCCCGCCGGTTTAGGCACTTTCAGCCCGTCGGGCTTCCCGGAGTGGTAGTACAACAACTCCTTTCCGTCGTCGTACCTTTGTGTTGCTTGCTCCCATGGCACGCAACACAAGAGGCTCCCCGTAGCGAACCTCCCCTTGAGGAAGTCATCGAGGTGCCTCTTGAACTCTGCCTTCTCAGGCACTTTTTCCTCCACCTGTTCGAACAGGTAGAGTAGTGCCTTTTTGACCCGGTCCTGGTGGACCGGGTCGTACAGAGTCCAATGGAACTCCGTGATCTGCAAGCACACGCGTAAGTTAGTTCGAAGTGTAAACATGTCCGAATATGGCCATGTTTAAGCGGTTTCGTAGGAAAACATTGCAGGTAGGGCCATGTTCGGGTCTTACCTTGATGCACAGCTGGTCGCGTGGGAGCCCCCCCGCCACCTGGTGCCCAAAGTGCCATGCCGGCTTCTTGGGCACCGTCTCCACCACCACCCCGCAGAGCAGGGGGGTGTGGACCTGCGGGGTGAGGTCGTCGTTGTACCAAGAGGTGGGAACATCGGGTGTCCCCGCCTTCCACCTCTTCTCCTCATCCTCCACCTCGTGGTCCTCGCTAGCCATGAGCAAGGCGTGGTCGCCGACCTTGAGGCGGCCGTGCTCAAGCACCTCCTGTTCGGCCGCCCGCTTTCGGGCTTCGGCCACCTTGAGCCCTTGGCGCTTGGGCGCCATGGGCTCCTTGCCCTTGCCCGCCATGGCCTCCTTGCCCTTGGGCCCGGCCTTCTCCTTGCCCTTGGGCTCGGCCTTCTCCTTGCCCTTGGGCTCGGCCTTCCCCTTGCCCCTGGCCTCCTCCTCCTCCTCCTTGGCGTCGATAAGATCCCGCAGGATTGCCTTCCGATCCTCTGCTGCCACGACCAACACTAAGTTAGTTTCAAACATGGCCATGTTTGCATAGGTAGTGTGTAAACATGGCCTTACTTGTATAGTACTTCTGTACTAAACGGTGCGAACAGGGCCTTACTTGCGCATAAGAAACGAAGAACTTATCACAAAACTTATTTCAAGCAAAGAACGCACCTTCCGTTGGGACGTCGCCGTTCTGGGTCAAACCCGCAGCCTCCACCCCGGCCTTGATCTCGGCCGTTGTGGGTTGGCCTTTCTTTTGGGAAAACACCTCCACGTTGGCGGTGGTGTATGCATGCCCGGGTATGTTGCATACCCAGACATGCACCTCCCCCGCCTTGAGGCGCCACCTCCCCCACTTGTGACGGCGCCTCAAATTTTGCATCAAGGTGGACAACTTCATATGCTGGTTGTCCCCACTTGAGCCCAACGTGGCGGTGAGGGGCATTAGTTCCGCCATTCGACGGCGGAACCTATCCCTAGCCAGGGTCTGTTTATCCAGACCCTGGAAGGGATTTACATGCCCCTTCACCACCATATCGTCTGTGAAATCAAACACAAACACCCCACACGTTAGCATCTGAACTTCCTGCGATAGGACAACATAAAACACAAGCAGGACACTACCCAAACATTGCCCTATTTACGCAGTGTACACCCCCTGCCTACAACTGGAAGGTGGGCGAACAGGGCTGTGTTCGTGCAATGTTCTAACACCCTAGCAAGTGTTTTTCAAGCGGGATTTCGGCTGGGTTACTCACGGAAGACGTCTCTCCTGTGTTGCGCCGCCTCCTTCCCCTCCTTTTTTTGCGCTTTCTGAAGATTTTTAACTGAATCCCCTGTGGACTTCACCTTGGCCATCGCAAGGGCGAAGCGGTCAAGCCCACTCCCCTTCTTGCTTTCGGCCCCCGGATCCTCCTCCTCCTCCTCCTCCTCGTCCTCGTCCGTGTCCTCGGAGCCACCGCTCTCGGAGTCGGACGCATTTAAAAGCGCATACTTGCGCTTGTATTGCCGGTACTTTTCCTTGTCCGCGAGCTTGCCCATTTTC